ACCACACAGTTTGCACCCATGCGCACACGGAACATTAAATATCTTTTCACACATTTTTCCAGAAGTAATTTGTTTTCCCCGGCAATGAAGACAGGCAGAAGTTGATAGTCTGTGACAGACTGCTATGCATGTAACAAAGCTTTATGGGTACCTTGAGCTTGAAAAAGGAATTTGTTGTGGGGTAAACGGAGATCTGAAATCCTTTAGGATTATAATACAAAATACTTTCTGGTTCAGCAACTGCTCAAAATGTAACGAGAAACAAATTCACAAAAAAAAAACACAATGTCATACAACTTTGAATAACATGGTTAATGAAAATGGTGATTCTCTTGTATTATTTCAAGAGACAAACACATTATGAAGCTAGTCACATGAGTTGAGATAATCCCCCAACTTTGTCTGTGCTGCGAGAATCAGAGGAGAAAACCTTTTAAGCACTCAGTCAATGGGACAGTCTTTAAAGCAGTACGAACACTACTGAATACAAGGGGACACACCAGATAGCAGCTCAGGTTTCTTTTTTTATTTTATTGTGACTCTATTTTGCTACAAATTTTAATTTTCTCAAAATATACAATAGCAACCATTTGATATGTCTTTGCCCCAATTACCAAGTGACCTGGTAACCACTCTGATCCTCACAGTGGTGGCCTAACGTGCAAAACACGAAACAAGGACATGCCTTGAATGGTATGGATTTAATACCACTTTCTATGCACTTTAAAAGCTAAGATCTGTCTTAATGGATACAGAGAGGAAGGGCCAAACAATTTAAAGCAAAGAGATCCATATTTTCCCAGCAGGTGGTCCAGGACCTCCAGCAAGTCATTCTCAATAGTCACATAGCGTTAGTTTGGGAGATAGATTTTGCTCTAAAATTCAGCCTGAAAATATTACGTGTGTGCATTACAACAGGCTTGAAGATATGGAGATACTTAGATAACGAATATATCCTCCTTTACGCTTATTTATATATTTAATCACATTGAGCTGTTTTCCAGTACTTTAACTCCCCACTGTTTGGGCACAAAACACAGTATGTCTTTCTGCTGGACTGAACTGAAAAACGAATTATTGATGAGCGGGATTTGAAATTACTTGCATTACACCATAGAAAGAAGGAAGAAAGGATAAGGAACGAAAACCAGTTCTCTCAGAGGGAGAGGTGACAAAAGAGAAGGGAATACCAGAGAGGAGGAAATCAGTATTAGCAAGAGGGCAAAGAAATGTGAAGAGGAGAAGATATCTATGGAAAAGAAAACCTATATCCTTCAGAGATTGCCTGTGTAATTGTTTTCCGCTCAGTGGCAGTAAATGAGCCCTCTCCCTCTGCTGAATTACTCATTAATTATTCTAGGGCCAAACAGGGACAGGCAGACAGCTCCCAGGGAAGGTGCAAGCACAGGATTGAACCAGGTCTATAAGGGATGTTTGCTCCTTGAGACAATATACCACACTCCTGAAATCAGGCAAGCAGGCATGGCAGCAAGTTAAGTATGAAAGCAGATTAATATGTCCTTTTACTCTAAGATTAACAGCCAAGAATCACAAGAGTCATCTGAGCAGTGCCCATTCATTGGGTAACACAGTTATTTGCACACGGGTGGAAGCAGCAGTTACACGAGATCTCTTCCAAAGACCATTAAGCCAGTGCAATCACTCTTGCTGACTTCAGTAAGAGCACGGAGATACCTCATGGCCTTCAAACAAGGTGCACTGCTGATTCCTGGCCTCATTCCGGAGGCCAGACTCACCCCCAGGATAATCACAGAAATACTCCTGATAGGACCAGTCCTCTGAACACCTCCAGCTCTGTGCCTTGTGCTGCTGCGGGGCAGTGCCACGCAATCACCACAATGCTTCTGCCTCAAAGCAGTGAACAAGAAGGGCTGAACACGGTGAGAGATGCCTCGTCTCCATGAGATCTACACGTCAGTCTGCTTCCAGCTTCCTGACTTCCCTGCCATCTGCCTGGAAGTAGCCATTTCTCAGAAAAGTTGGCAAGCTTATGGCACCTAAAATGAACAGTGTGGAGGAGCAGGCTCATGTATGCTGCATACTGCCTTATTTTGAGTGCTCACAGATGGCCAAGCGAACAACAGCTTCCAATGTCATGTCTGAGTAAAAAGAGCTTGCATGGTTTTAGATGGATAATTACCAAATAGTGAAAGGGACATATTGTGTCTATATGAGACTCAGACAGAGTCGGTGTCTCCCTCAGGCAACCTTCACAGATTTGCAGACACTTTTTTTCCCTAAGATTTTTCAGATTTTCTGTTTTTAAGCTGTGTAATTTCTCCATTACCATTTCTTCCTGCCTATACAGGTCAGCCATGCAGATGATCACACAATCTCCCATCTGGATAACAAGCTCCCTTACATACATATGAGCATATATTCACCTGTATCACTTGCGTTGCTCCAGTGAACTAAAGTAAGCTACACTGGCTAATCTTAGCACAGTTTTGCTGTACAAGGTGCACTGTGCTAGCACATTCACACTCTACTAGCACTCTTCCTGGAAAACATCCCTTTTATATACACAGAAGTTTATATATATACAAAGCAAATCTATGGTCATTATGGCTTTTTTTTTTTTTTGTGAAAATACAAAAATGTCAGATGAGCAATGCACTAAGGCAATAAAGGCTGGCTGCGGCTGCAAAAAGCATGAGACCATACCTTTGCAGAGGCCAATACTTCCTCAATGGGGACTTCTCTTAAATTTCTCTGGAAGCTAAAGCCCAGGGATATACAAAGATCTTAGGGTGAAGATTCCACCACCACCTCCAAGTAGCAGCTTGCTTTGGCACCAGGCATAAGGCTCCGAAAGACTCCCAATTACCATCTCTGCTGTTAGTCAGACCATGCTGAAGGAACTCAACAAGGCTCTGGAGACACAGCATCAGTTTATGAGCCCGAGCAGTCCTAGAGTATATTCTTTAGAGCATAATTACTTGAGCTGTCAGTGTAAGTTGGTGCAGCTTCAAAAGAAGGCACATACACCCTTTCCCTCTATGCCCTTTTTTTTTTTTCTTTCCAGTTTTGCTCCCTTATCTTTCTCCCTCTCCACCCACTGCCCAGCACACTGTAGTAGTGAGAGCTCCGCCAAGGTGCTCTGCATGGCTTCCATCAAAGCAGCTGAGTTCTTGGTTCATCACTTTGAATACCAACACAAAAGGCACCTGCTCAACCAAGGCTTTTATCTGTGAGAGATGACATAACAGGAAGCAGAAGCTGGAAAAACACAGACTGGAAAACAAATAAGTGTATTTCAATGAAAAGAACCTAACAACCAACCAGCTACAGAAAGGTTATCACAATGAAATGCATCAGGCTGCCTTTACTTCTGTAGAAAATTTACTTCTATAGAAAGAGTTTGCAGATCAGATTTGTAAAACCTGCAGGATGCAAAAAAGTGTTTGCCTGAATGCTATTTGAGTAACCAGATTTCTGGTAATCACTGCATGTGCAGGGCATGCTTTACTGCTGCTCCTTGAAGGACAATTCTTCTCTTGAACTGTACATACAAAGAGCTGCAGGTAATGCTTGTTTAAGGTATGTTGTGGTGGGGAAGAGACATGGAGAGCTAGAATAACAATCCTGTTAATCTAAGCAATCTCTTCCTTGTGCTATAACACAAGATCTTCAGAAGTCTTTTGAATAACAAGGAAGGGGATAGCAAGCCACAATGCTCACAGCAGTCTGTGTACAGGGAAGGAGGAGCAGAAGGGGCAATATATTTCACATTGTCATAGATTACTAGCATTACAGAGCAGCTAATGATGATGACACTGAGTGCTCCTGGAGGCAAAGACCTGGGTGCACCCCCAGGGCAGGGAATGAATACAGTTGCACTAAAGGCAGACATTTTTGCTAAGAATTATAAGGAAATCACAGTGAGAGTGAATGAAATTCATTCCAAGCATGAGACTCCTGCTAGAGAAGTCCTCAAGTGAAAAGAAAGTAATAAGAGGAACATAATTGAATCTGAAAGGAAAACATGTAACTTCATCCCATTAACACAGTGAGAACGAGTGAGGCACTTCACCAAAGCACATTGGTAGCAACAGCAGTGAAACTCCTCCCAGAGGCTCTGACAACACCATCTACCAGGAGACAGATGCACAGTGCTGGGCTTTGCATTTCCATTTGGAAACTGATTTTACAGTACTGCGCTTCATAACATTTAGAGTAATTTCAGAGGCGATTCAACATCCTCACAGGGAAGCGAGGAGCAAACAAAACCCAGCGTGTCAGGGTGAATTAAGAGGCACAGTGCCAGAGCCATGTGCCAACTTCACGTCAGGTCTTTGCATTTCATGCCTGCTGTATTAGGAGGTTGCATTCCTCAGTCTGGTTATAAGCTTTATTTTATGTGTATTCACAGCTGATTTTTTTTCCCCGCTTTTTGCTAACGTCAACATCACTGCAGAAACTTGCTTTGCTCCCATTAATGTGAGAGGGGCTTTGTCTAAAAGATGCCGTGGGGCCTTCGGCTATCTGCTGACCCGGGGCATTCCAGGAGATGTAACCGCAATCACACCCTTTTGACACTGTATAGTTGACCGCCTCAAAAAAGGCCTCTCACTGATCATCCTCTGGCCCTGCCCGCCAATCACCTGGAAAAGATCTCATTCTCCATCTACTATCGCTGTGGACTTTAACAAACCCTCTGTTGCTCACGCAATGCTAAAAACAAATTAAAGATGGAAAACTTTGTTTTTCCTCCCTCCGCGTTAACCTCCGCGGCGCAGAGGCTCAGAGCAGGCACCCGGCGGCCGCCCTCACCAGAGCAGGTGCGGCGGGTCGGGGTGCTGCCCGCTGCCCCGGCCCCACCTCCCCCATCCTCTGCCGGGGCCGAGCGCGTTCCGCAGCGGCTGCCCGCCGGCCCGGCACCCGGCGGGAAGGCGGCACCCCGGCATCCCCCGGCTGCCAGCGGAGCCCCGCGCACCGCCGCCTCAGCGCGGCCCCCACCGGGCCCCGCGGTGCCTTACCTCCGTCGGCGCCCGAGCGATGCGGAGCGACTCCCGTTGCCGCGCAGCTCTCACCGAACCCCGCAGCCCAAATGGCCGCCGCCGCCGCGGCGGTGCGCGGTGCCGCCCGTTCCTGCGGCAGGACCGCCGCCGCCGGCTGAATGTGCTGTCTCACGCTGGACAGGCTCCTCCCGAGAGCTGCCGCCTTCCTCCTCCCGCCCCCTCCTCCTCTTCCTCCTCCCGCGCGCCCCCGGCAGCGACACCCCCCACCGCCGCCGCTCGGCGTCCCCAGGGGCGGCAAGGAGGAGCGGGCGGGGCGGGGCCGCAGGGCAGGTGGCGGCGTGGGCCCAGGGCCCGCTCGGACGCTCCGCACTCTCGAAGCCCCCTCAGCTGCTCCGAGGTCCCCTCACTGTCACCTCCCACACGGGCGCAGCCTTCGGCCCGTGGCAGCTCAGTGGCAGCCTCGTTATCACCCCTGCAAGGGCCTTGCCATCACCTCCTGCACAGTCCAGCTGTCATCCCCCATAGCTTCCTTCACATCTCCCTTACACCAACTCAGCCAGCAGCTCTACCACATCTTTTTCATCACCCTTAAAGCAATCTAAATATCACACAATGCCTGCTTACTCACCCCCTCCTCTACCACCTTGGTACTAGCTCCATGGTGGCCTGGCTATCAACCCCATTATGAACAGACCAACAGAATCATAGAAACCTTTGAGTTGGAAGGCACACTTAAAGGTCATCTAGTCCAGCACCCCTTCAGCAAACAAGGACACCTACAGCTTCATCAGGTTTCTCAGAGTCCCATACAGCCTAACCTTAGAGGTCTTCAGGGACAGGGCCCCACATTTGCCCTTCTGAGCTACGAGGGTACACTGCTGACTCATACCCAGCTGTCATCCATCAGTACACCTACACCCTTTTCAGCAGGGCTGCACTGGTAACTCCTAACATTCCCCAGATTGTACTGATAGTGCAGGTTGCCACAGCACAGGTGTAAGACTTGCACTGGGATTTGACGAACCTCATGAGATTCACCTGGGCCTGCTGCTCAGCCTGTTTCGGTCTCTGAATGGCACCCCATCAGGCACATCAGCTGTACCACACAGCTTGATGTCGTCTGCAAACTGCAGAGGATGCATTTGATCCCACAGTCAATGTAATTGATAAAGGTGTTAAAAAGCATTGGTCACAGTACTGACCCCTGAGGGACACACCATGCTTGTTTTAGCAGGATGTACCAACACCAGCCATTGTCATTCCAGGTCCAGCCCTGTCCTGAGAAGTGTGTGGTAGATCCAGACTAGTGGAAAACTATCAAGGATTTGCATCTCATCTTGTTTGTGTTAGACCTAGATGGACTGCACCTGGCCAGGAAATGAAGAGCCTTGAAGAACAATGGCATCCACTGAGGATGAAGACATGGTGATAAAATAATTGTTACTCAGTATAATTGGAACTGAAGCAGAGAAGATTCGTGTCTTGTTCTCCTGTAAGATTAATTTTAAGACATCATCTTCTGCTTGTACAGCCTAGGGCATGTGGAAAAATTCTGTTTTTAAGTGCACATTTGGGGCAGTTCATAGTCATTTTTGAAAGTAAAGCCCTTCCAAAATCAGATACTCAATACAAATTCAGAAACTGCTGGTTACTTACAGAAGCCTTGGCCTTGGTTTCAACTTGAGCGTAAATCTCAAACTTGTCTGAGGTTGTCGGGGGATTGTGTGTCTAGCAAATACACTTCAAACTTAGCTGTCATTTAAATTATTCCTGTCTGGTTTCTAAGAGGGCTTTGGATTCATTTAGTACTCCTGAGCTGACAAATCAGATTGGTTTCTGATGAGGTCTGGTGAGGATTCACTATGTTAACATGATATCTTACATACGTGACAAAGATATCTTGGTATCATATACATACAACATGGCATCATATGGTACAGCATGCCATCATGCTATATGAAAATATCAAGTATTTATCGAGTGTGAATGAGCACAGCGTCTCTTAACTCTGCCCTTTTGACTATGATGGTCAAAAACCTACACTGTTGTGGCATTTTCTCAACTATTTCATATTAAATGTCCATAGAAGCTATTAGTAGCCATTAAAATAGTATTATTAAGCACTATTTGTACATCATAAATAAGTCTGTAAAGCTGTTGAGTCCCACGTTTTTGTTACAAAGTAATAGCATTTTATGTTCTATTAACAACTCATATAGGAATTTATTTAAAACACACTGTAAAACCCTGTCCAATGGGACACAGTTTTGATACTCATTAAAAATGGCAATATTTGCTGGGGTGGTTCACTGTTTTTCAAGTATAGAAATGAAACATCAAAATGGTAATGTCAAAGGAAAAGTGAAAACAAACCAACACTCATGAAACACAATAGGTCCAGACAAAAGCTCATTGAGTGGTGGGAGATCGTGTACAAAAGAGTGTCAGTGGCCCTATTAGCACAAAAAAATAAAAATACACAGCTTCTCTTCAAAATTACCTACTGTGAGGAGATTTGGAGGGAAGCAAGTCTAGCTCTGTATTTTTAATAGGTGATCCCAGAATTGGCAGAATTTGGGAACATGAGAAAAATATGCAGTTAGTCCCCATTAAATAATTATCTGAAGGAATATCTAATTTCCCTACAAGCAATGCTCTGTTCTCTTTGACCTCATTCCCGCCACTGTCTTCCATAATTTTCCACAGCATAAGCTCTTGTCATTTTTGTTTATTTCTTGTTCTAGGGCAGTAATTTGTATTGTTACTAATTTTACAAAATGGGATAAGATCTTTACATTTCTAGAAGTTTTGGGTTTTTTTTTGTTTGTTTTTTACAAAAAGTCGTCATAATCAGTGACGTTAAAATCTTTTTAACAATGCTTCATGAAAAACATTCAGTCATTTCAGTGCACCACAGGACATGCATTAATTTTACGTTTTGTCAAACACAAATCCATAATATTATCCAACTCATTATATGCTGCCAGCAGGCGTTATGTGATTATGTATTGGGCTTAATTACCAGGTGAATGTGCAGCAGGGCAAAGTTTAAATTTGAAGTTTTAAAAATAATCTTAAGTTCTTGCTCTGTGAATTCATAAGGTAGTATTTTAGCTTCAAACTACGTAATTAGATCAACAGAGGGCAAAATAATTAGCAATTATGCACATCTGACAAGCGGCTTTCTCTCCAGCAAAGGTCAGTTGTACACACACACTAACCATGGCACCATCTAAAGAGAAATTTGGAATCTGGAAATTAAGGGGAAGTTCGGCGCTCATCACAGCCTACTAATTGCATGGGATAAAAAGTCTATCCTTAAAATACCCAAGGCACATTATTTGCCTGTCTCCCCTCTTCCAACTTACAGAAACAATTTTAGAGGTTTCTGTGAACATTTTGCGTTATATATTTGGTTGCTAGACTTGAAATGTCTAAGGGAAGCAAATTTACACCATTTTGTTTTGAAGTTACTTTACGTAGAGATGTTCACGTGCAATTTACTAATGAAGATTGGCTGAAGTTGCTGTGACAGCCAATAACCATTTATGGTGCAACGTGAGACAAATGATTATCAGTGCATTGTATTTCCCTCCCTTAGGCACCAACAACTCCTACTTCACAAAGTGCAGTAACAGTCTAACAGAAGTAGGCAAACCCTTCTGGAAATTTGTGCCAGAGGAAGATTAAAAATTAATTTCAAAGCCAACATTTGCAGGGCTTAATGCAGATGATGCTACCACTACTTTTCAGACGCTTTGCATGATAGACCTCTGCAGATAATTGAGGATGTTAAAAAATGCCTTGCAGCTTTTCAAAGGCAATGGATTAAACAAAGGATCAAAAGACAAAAAAAAAATATCAAAGCACCCTTCAGAAAAAATGTAGAATATCACTTCTAAAGTCAGGTTTATTGTTATGGCACTAATGTCTCTGTAGGGCACTATTACACATGGCTTTAGAAATCTTCTTTTCACAGATGATCTGATTGCTGGTCTTTCAAGAAATGCATGGGCAGTTGGTTAGTATGAAAAAGTAGTTTAAAGAGAGGGCATTGGAGAACTTTTCTTAACTGTTTGCTAAAAGCACCTAGTTCTCCAGGCACATCACTGGGTGTTGGGCTGAAATTTCTGCAAGCTGGGATAGTCTGAATATTCACAATAGGCTCTAGTACCAAACAATGAATCTAAAAGATATCTGGCGCAAAGTCAGTAATAGTTCCTCTAACAATTGATTTGCAATTAATAGATTCCCATTTCCTAGGTCTTTGCTCAAATACATGTGCAAAGCTGAAAAAACCTTAAGTACCTTAAAAAGAAGAAATTTTCCCTCAGAAAGGAATGGCAAAATTGTGAGATGTGGTACAGAAGTAGAAGGAACAAGGATATCTCTGGTAGATGAGCAAGTTCCATATTGATTAGAAACAATTATTTTTGTGACAGAATATTTTCTAAGCCTCTTTTCATATTTTGTTCTTCACTTTCCTGAAGCTCTGTCACCAAAGAGATTAGTTAGAAGGACAGATAATAACAGTTTCAACAAAGTTGGACTTTGGGCACCCATCTGTACATGCACATGGCTGAGGGACCTGGAAGATAAGGTGCTGGTTTCAGGATTTGTAAATCAACCTGATTGCAGTGAGGCATGAGATGCATTGGGTGTCTAGCACAAGAGTAGCAAGGCTGCAGCAAATCATTTTACTCTTACTGCTCTTTGAGCAACAGAACAGAAAATGAAGGAGAGCTAAGAGCAAAAAGAATGGCACTTGCAGGAAGGGAAAATGCCTATGCACAGAAAGCAGCATTTCTCACAGAGCAATCCACATGAGTGCTCTTCTTTCCATCCTTCAAAAAATAGAACAGCAGGCTGCATTCATAATGTTAACCATATACTGTGATTGATATACGCCCCATATTTGCTCTTTATATGAAACTATAAATTCCAAAGTCTACCTACCTATAGAGAAGTTAGTTGATTCATCTGTCAACTGTGATTGAAAAGACTTGGTAAACTGTACTATAAACGTGAAGTGATAATAAGCACCAACTAAAACAGCAATTAACTGGAAGTTAGATCTACATCTCTGTAAATTAATGAAAGGAAACATAGGAGAGATGCCAAGCAGCATGACTGTGGATTAAAGTTGGTTCTCAAGGTAAAATTAATCCTATAGAATCCTACTCTTTCCATGAAAGATAACCATAATTCTCCAAGAAATTCTT